CCCTCCATCACTTCGTCTTTTTTTTTTCATTCTTTCTGCGCAGCTTTTATTTACTCACGTTGTTTCGTGTTGTTTATGGCTCCCCTCAGGACCGGAGGAATTATGGAGGATGGAAAATAATTTAGAAAAATAAAAGATGAAAGGAGAGACGAGGATAGAGAGCAGTGTCGAGGCGAGAGATGATAAAAAAATAAATAACAGGAAGTCATCAGGCCAGGCCGGTGCGGCCTTGTTTGGCCTTTTCACTGTTTGGGTCTAATAAATGAGATGGTGGTGATATGAGATGTTGACGGTGTGATCCGGAGAGCGTGAGTTTCCAGGCCTTGGATCATTGGATCTAATGAGGTTTGGCAGTGGGCTGCTTGCCTTCCAGCCCAATCATGTGAAATCTTGATGACTCACAAAGCACATGAAAGGACCTCAGTTATTTTCACTCATTTTTATTGTGGCTCGGCGTCTTTATTTGGACTTTTATAAACTCTCGTGTTATAAATAAGAGGGTGAGAAGCTTTTTATTTTTGCCATCCATCAAAAACAAACCAAAGCCCTGTCTTTAGTGGAGATTTTTGGGACCATATGAAATGAGTTTTGGGGTGTTTGGAGTATTTTTGACGAACCTTTTTTTTTTCCTTTTTGCAATTAACTACATTTGAGTTACTTTCTAATTAGTTTATATCTAACTTGTGTGACCCGTGGCAGTTTGTAGGCACTTTCATCTTTTCCAAGTTAAACCCCGAATATTTTGTTTCATTATTTCTGCTGACTTTTATCTACTACTACTTTGGGCTGAAGGTTGTTTTGGCTGGTTGCTTACTGGCGTTTTTTTATGATTAACTTTTAGTTATCTGTCTGCTGAGTTTTAGTCTGTTATTGACTTACCATGGGCTACGTTTGGCTCACCTTTATATATAATTTGACTAAATTAATAAAGTTGATTTTAAAATGACTCTAATATTAAGTCATGTGCTACGTCTTAGCCATTGTTGACGATGCTATTACTATTTACATATATGAGTGCGACTAACATTTTTTCTGGCTAACTCTTAATTATTCTGATTTTTTTTCTCTTATTAATATTTAGTCTCATAAAATAAAATTCTTTTATCACTATTAGAACCATGTTTAAGTTTTGGTACATTTGAACTTTTTTCCCCAGTGTTTTTGTTTAATGTTTTGGAAACATTTTATTTATATTTTTGCAAACTTTTAATATTTAATATTAAAAATATTTCTATGTATTGTTAACGAATTATTTTTTTTTTCAAATTTGATCCCACAATAACACACAGGAAATGCGTCTCCTCCTTCAGAGATTTCAAACTTCACCAAGAACTAATCTATGGAGCCATTAACAGCCTCAATATGGACAATTTAAAGGCAATTTCAGAATTTTCCGAGGCGTTTGGCCCCGAGCTCCTGCTAATTTCTGACCCTGTTGTTAGCACACGTGCAGCTAAAGTTATAATTTATGTCAGATCCAGTTGCAGGAATGAAAAGGAGTAAAAAAGTTATAAATTATGTCAGGAAATCTGTTGCTTTCCAATAACGCGAGCCTTTAATCGACTCGTATTTCACACACACACACACACAGATGCACTGAGGCGGCCCTCCCCTGGATAAAGCTCGCCTTTTACGAGGAAACACGCCACATGAGGTGATCAGCATATGTTTTGTTGACATAAATTTCACATTTATTGCCGTTGTCAAAAGTGACTGTTGGACAAAGTCGATTATTAACTGAGTAAATGGCCTGAGAGAGTTTTATGAGAACTTCCTTAATGGCTACAGTCGGTCTGTTTCAAATCACCCTCCAACCCCACATGAGCTCACACACGCACAGAAGATGGTGTGTGTGTGTGTGTGTGCGTGTGTGTTATCCGTGTTGGAGCCAAATCACTGAGCTGAGACAATATTTTTATCATCCTTCTACAAAACATTAAACATCACTGGAGTCAAATTACAGTCTATTATTAGCCGGCTTTAATCATATTCCCCATTTCATGGCAAATAAAACTTACAGAAGAACCCGTTGTTTACTCTCAGGTGCTGTTTAAATGCACCTTTTAGAGTTTAATGGGGGTATATGTTTTCACCCTGGTGGACTCTTTTGTAAATTTAAAGGGCAAATTTATCAAATGTTCGCCATTAGCTATTAGCTTATGCAGTTGTTTTCTTGACGACAATAATGTCGACATAAATTTACCTGTAACTATGACTAATGTTCACAATGCATATATTTTTAACTAATACTTAAAAAGAAAAATTAGGCGTTTATTTAAGTGATATCATACTGTAATTTTTTAAATTAGGCGTTTATTTAAGTGATATCACACTGTTTTTTTTTTTATTATTTTAAACATGCTAGTTGGCTAACTCTTAGATTTTAAGATGATTTTAAAATCATTTTAAACATGCTAGTTGGCTAACTCTTGGATTTTAAGATGGTTTTAAAATCTAAATCTTTAGCATATATTCACTAATTTCAAGTTTACAATTCCCAGTTAGATTTACTTACTTAATGCTCAATCATTTCTAGCCTTCACTCGCTAACCTTTAGCATTTTCGTGGAGCACAGCTGGACTTTTGCAGCCGAATTTAAATCATGATATTTTGAAATCATAAACGGAGATAAATTATTTATTCACCTTAATTCTCACCCATATTTTTTCCATCCTAAGCTGCGATAAAACACTCTGTACTTTTTCCTCTCGAAATAAGAGGTACTTGTACTTTTAGGAATATTTCCTTCTGATTTATTCATCACCTGACTAATATATATTTTTTAATATTTTGGATTTTTTTTTGGTGGCCTGAGGCCATTCCAGGCCCCATTATATCACATCACCTCAGTATCATTTCACACACATTAGCTCCAGTGGTTAATTTTAACATCGTTTGGCCCACTTTTGGCTATATTTCCTTTTTTATTAGCAGACATAAAGATGGGAATAGGAGGTCTGGCATCACAGTGGAGTCAGTGTAGTTAACTGCCATAAGAGGATGCTATTAGAGCCAACAACAGAGCGACTTGTGAAAGTCCTAAACCTGTCCTTTAACAGACTAAATTACTAGAACATCTGCTCTTAGCGTTCTGTTGAACATCGTCTAATGCGCTCTTTCAGCGTACATAGCGGCGGCCATTGCAGTTAAATTCAACTCGCACTCGGCGCAGACACACAAAGGCGCGGTGCGGCGCGGTGTGTTCATCAGCACTCACTCTTGTACGTTTTCACAAATACATGGTGTCGTTTCCACTACCAGTGGTTGTAGTGAGTCCATCTGAACCTTATCAGTGCTGCGTTCAGGGTCCACAATGGTCCGACTGAGGTGGGACACAAAGGGCCGGGGAAAGGCTTTGTGCTGCTGCCTGTGCAGTGAGAAGGTTTTCTTCATGCACTTTAATGCAGTTGGTTTGTGTTTTTTTTCAGAGTGTGTGTGTGTGCTCCTGTAAAGAATGAAAAGATTTTTTTAATTTTTTTATTTCACTCTTCATTTTGATTTTAGTTGTTTGGGTATTATTTAAAAACAAATTCAAAATGTTTGAAATTAAAATCATTTCTTATATTTAGATTTTGCTGAAGTTTAAATAATTTTCTGCCTTTGACTGTCATAGTCTTTAGCTAATTTTTTAACTGTAAAATATGCTTTTTTATTTTTTTTGTTCATGCCTTGACAACTTCATTTGTGTGTTTGCAGTGTAGTAATAAAAAACAAAGTCAACCTGCACTTCTTTTCAAGCAATCAATCCAAAGCTAATATATATTATATATATTTTCTATAGACATACAGTAGGTGACATCAGATAATGTGTCCTGCAGCCTTTGAAAATCCATCATTACAATGTAGAATTTTTTTTTTTTGTTTGTTTTTGGAACAACCACTAAAAACGTCCAAATGCTGTGGCGTCTGCTCAGCCCTGAGATAAAAACAACTGTAGATAAATTCATCAGTCTTTGCTGTTTTACTCATTCGACAGTGTCCACTGTACGGTGAAAAGTCTGATATTTACCAGTGTGTGAGAGAGTGTTTCTTTAACTGTTGAAAATGCTCCCAGCTGTGTCATTCCTGACCCTCTGTGTCACTTTCTTTTCCACTTTTTGTCTTTTTTAAATCGGTCTTTCTTTTCGGGGACTTTTGGCATTTTTATGGAGCCTTCTAATTAGTCACAAGTTGCCAAAGGGCCATTATTCTGGTTTGGGTTTCCAAGATCCTTTTCCAGTCATGTTTTCACTTAACACTGGGTAAATAGTCAAGACTTGGAGGACGTGTTCTCCCTTTCTCTCCCTCTCCCTCCCTGTCTCTTTTTTTACAGCCATTAATTGTCAGTCAGTTCATACTTGACTTCATGGCTTAATAACGGCTGCAGCAGTTGCCACAGGACACGCTCTAATGTCTCTGTCTGTCCCTCTGGAGGAACAGAGTAGGAAGAAGAAGTTGTAAATCAATTTGCATTCAACATCTGACATCATCAGTCAATTTTTTTTTTTTTTGGGGTAAATGGCACCTCCTCTTCCTACTCCCCCTTCGTCTCCTCTTGAGGCCTGGTGAAGATGGATGGCTGTCATCTTTTCCCAAGTTTGAGCTCATCTTCTTATCAAGGGCATCGTTTCCCTGAGAACGCGTATTATCAGTCAAATTTATTGTGTGTGTGTGTGTGTGTGTGTGTGTTGGGGGGGGGGTTTATCACCTGATGCTCAGATCCAGACGTTTTTTAGGCGCTCACACACGATCAGTCACACTTCAGCTGTACATCCTGGGACGTGTGTTATTTTCAGCAGTGCGTAGAACATTCTAGAATTCAAACCATTTCCTCATCACAATCCAAGAACAACCAATAGAATTCAGTTTGATTTAGTTTCACAATGCAAAAGAATTAAATAGAGTTTTTTTTAATATATATTGTTTTAAAAATTGCATTAGAAAAGAAACAAATGGACTTTTTTTGTTAAACTATTCTTTTTGTTTTGTTTTATTTTCTGAAGGATATATGTTTTTAAATGGTCATTCTTTAGCTTTTTGCTATTTTGTTTTTAATTTTTTAATTTTTTTTCTATTTTTTCTATTTTTTATATAAATTTTTAATTTTTTTTTTCTATTTTGCTAAATGAATTGTTTTAATTATAATTTATTTTTTTAACCTGCATACTTTTATCTGAGCATTTTTTTAATCTTGGTTTGTCAGCCTTCATCAGAAAACAAGATTATTAAACTAAAAGAAATACAGTTAATATAGTGGAAAAACGACAAACAACGATAAGTCACAAACTTTATCCAGAAAAACTGACAAAGCCACAAATTCAACAACTCTTTCTGTGTAATTTGTAGTGTAATTTAAAGTACTGTTGTTTGATGTTCTCCAGGTATGTCTCCAGGTATTTGAAGTTTCCCAGAAAGCTCAAGGCTCAGTTGCAGTTGTTTGACAACTGTCATCTCCCCAATTACTTTCAGTGCTTCACTCCCTCTCAGGGATAATGATTTGTGTGAAGACCGTGGGCTCTGTGGGAACTGTAGGACACACACACACACACACACACACTTACTGTTTTCTGTGTTTTGTGAGCACTTCTCATGTACATACCATGTTCCCCTTGGCCCTTACTGTTAACACTCCCAGATATATGCCCCGTCCTAATACAGTTCTGACTCTAATCTAAGTTTAATTCCAACTTCGCAAATAAACCGTCTCGAACCGACTGGTCTTTCCAGAACAAAAGTGTAATTTTTACCAGGAAGCCCCGCCCCCTTACACTCCCACACACACCTTGAATATTGTCAGGTGTTACTGAGTTTCCAAATCTTCCAGGCCTTTAGCACCAAATCAGATATGGACTCTGATTCTTGTCTCCTGAACTCTGTTACGTCCTCATGGCTGGTTCTTTTGAAGAAGACACTTGATTTATTTTATATTTGATTTGCTCTCAGTCTGTGTCGTCTTAGAGTTTAGAAAAGTCATTGCCATGAGTGTCTTGGTCATGTGTCTTTGAAAAGTGTGTTTGCCAGGATATTTCTTAGCACGTCAATCTAATTTGTAGCTAACGATTAGCTGTTTCAAACCTCTGTCTGGCAGGATTTCAGCCTTTAAGCTCTTGGGTTGTGAATGTCTGTACTGTTGGTAAAAAAAACATCAACTCAGTGCTAATGTTTTTTCCTTTTTTCTTTCTTTGTCTGAACAGGAAGATGCACAGTGAAATGAAGACCTACGGCTGTGAGCTGTGCGGGAAGAGCTTCCTGGACAGCCTCCGTCTACGGATGCATTTGCTTTCTCACTCAGGTAAGGGAACCGAACCCAAGTGTTCTGGAACCACACCAGAACTCTATCCTTACAGAACCACGATGGTAATTTGTAAATATCTTTTAGATGGCGGGATTTGCTGTCGTCACGTGTGAGATTAATTTTAAGCCAAACAACTCACTAATTATCGAGATTAATTTTAAGCCAAACAACTCACTTATCAGCCAAATTTGTTCAACCAAAACAGAAAACGGTAAATAATGGAAAAGTGTTTACACAGTTTATACAAAAATGCATATATGTGCATAAATATAGCTCTAATTTATCCCAATTTATCATACAATTATAAAGAAAATTGATAAAACTTGATAAATATTAGAATTTGTTTAAGTAGAAATTATTTTAATAATTATTATAATAAATATATCTGGTAATAATAGAATAAATAAATAGAAAATATGAAAAGTATCACAATAACAAATTTAACACAAACTCCATCTGGGGAAAAGAATATGATTCATCAAAAAAAAAAAATCAAATTTCCTTGTATTTTTCTTCTTTTTCCTGTTTAAGTGATGTTTTTTCTTGTGATGTTGAAAGGTTAATATCTCTTTTTAGATAAAAAGGTCCTAGATTCTGTGCATCAAAAACAGTTCATGCCCCTTTGTTTGGCCTTGGTGCAGTTGTACAGTGCTCTCAGTCCAGCTCCGCTGCAGCTTATTTATCCGCTCGTTTCTATCAAATCTCTCTGCATGTTATTTCTTTTACTCTCAAGGATGCTGCCTTGTTACCTTCGCGGCAGCTCGAGTGATAGTTTCAAGAGTTCCGTCCTTGAGTCGTTTTCATTTCAGATTGTTTATTTACATGAGTGAAGAGCAAGAAATGGCGAGAACACGGCAGCGCGGTCGGTCACAATCCAGAGCGTGAGAGTGACTCTTGGTGAAGTGAATCCACACTTCTGTGGAGTTTTTTTTCGCTCATAAATGTGTTTAACGTCCATTCAGAAACTCGGAGTGTGGGTGAACGCAGCGTACTGTGGAAAATAGGTCCTTTATGTGTTTGATAGAAAGTCTGATCAAAAGGCCAACACTGAAGTAGCTGCAGCTGAATACAGGAGGGGAGCTTGTCGCACGCTGCTGTTATAAATACTCAGGTTTGTGAAAGTGTGAATGTACAGTGTAACCCAGTTAGTTTTATTTCACTGGTTCATGGATAAAATTAGATCTTAATAAATCTGAGCGGCTCAGAGAGACGGACCTGCACGGCTTCATCATCTCCAGACAGAGACACCGTGTGGTCCCCGACCCCTCACCCAAACCTTAACCATAACAATGACATATGCCTGACGTCGGTCCTTACCTTACTTCTGATCAGACTCTCTCAGTGGGGACCTGTGAAATGTCCCCAGCAGCAGGCCACAGTGTCCTCCTAGGCAATAATATTTTCCAAGAATTGCCCCCGCAAGTATAGGTATGTGACGAGAACACACACATACCTGTACTTAGTGTGGACCACTTTAATGGGCTGGAGTCACTTTTTACTGGCAGCAAAAAGCTCCTCAGTTCTAAGGCTCTAAGTGCAGATGGAGCCGCTGTAAAAGTCATGGGATCTCAGAGGGAAGCCCTGCTACTACTACTACTACTACTACTACTATGATACTACTACTATTAAACATGTACACATAAACATACCTATATACTGTTGCAGACACACAATCCAAAACTTGTTTAACATGTATTTTTTTAATAATCCCATGAAAATTTCCAGTCTGGTATCAAGTGACAAAAGCTAGGAATTTTCAAAAGAAAAAAAAAATGTGCATGCTAGCTATTTCACGTGTAATTCCATCGTCCATCAGCTTTAAAACATGTTGCTATTTGCCCGTTCACACTGCTGGAAAATGTTTTCGTTTCAACAAAGAACCTTTATCTTAAATAAGCTTTTTTACATTTTGTTAACTGAGTTACCTGAGTTAGATTAACCATCGCTAATTTTTAGCTTCTTATTATCAAATATTTTTTTCTTTCCTTTTTTTTTAGGTAGAAAAAAAGCATGTGTAGCAGGTTAGGGTGATAAAGAATAAATTTACATAAAGTGGCTTGAACTTCAGGTTAGATGTTTGCCTTGAAAATACCATGTGTCATTTTTAAAAATGTTGTTTTACCTCAATTTAATTTCTGTGATTGTTTCTGATCACAATCATGACTGAGGGTGATTAATCCACAGCTGCCCTGTGATTAGTCAGACGTGTTCTGAATGGTGTTATCAGGGCCTGAAAAGGTACAAAGCCTCCTTCCTCCTGGTGCCACATACTGACAGTAACAGAAAACAATAATTTGCCAGGATCAGTCGTTTGTTTGTATGTGAGCAGATTTGAAACAATGACCGAGATGGATGTCGACTCCCGGGCTCTGTTGTGACAAAGACGAATGACAAACTCACGCTGAGCCCGTGAATTGGCTCAGCGGACGACTCAGCGTGTCCAATACAAAAGTTGCTGCGAGGAAATGTTTCACTGTTTATTTAAAAGCTGCAGTGCGGCGTCTCCAAATGTGAACCGCTGCTTTTTTTTTTCTTTTTTTTTCACTTAACTGTCAAAGCAGGAGGAGAAGAGCAGTGGGTCAGAAATTAGCACAGGTTTTGGGCAGAATGCCAGTGAAATGTGTGAATTAGCCCTTTTAAGCTCATGTGGTGATGCCTTTATTTTTAAAACCCATCAAAATAGAGGTAAAATTGACCAAATACAAGTCAAACATGTTCAGCTCTAGGAGGCGGTCGGACGTAGCTCCTCTCAAGTATTTAACTATTGCTAATGACCGCAGGCTGTGAGACGATGAGTGGCGGCTAAGGTTAGCAAAAAAAAGAAGGAAAGTTGCTTGATATAATATTGGTTAAAAGTTAGAATTAGGAATGTAAGACTCGCCTTAGCCAAAAATCAAAAAACTTAAGTGATTATTGGGACATATTTAAAGATTTAGGACGTCTTCTCACAGTCAAAACCATATTATATGGGTGGGGAAGAAAAACATCTTGGGCAACAGAGCTGAAGATGTGGGCAGTATATTTTTAGCAACATTGGCAGCGAGAGCACCAACTCTTTTCCTCTCTCTTCGCGTCTTGTTTTGATGCTCGACTTCCACCTGTACCGTTTCACACATCGCCATCGTCGCTTTAGTCTGAGATAAAAAAAAAGGCAAAAACAGGAGTTGGAGTGCAGACAGGTGACGTTTAGAGAAGGAGACAAAACTGACACTGAGGAGGAGCCGCTCTGATATTTTCTGTTGCTCCCCACCCCCAAACATTACCCCCTGCCCCAACCCCAGTTCCAGGGATTGACTCTCGATGCTTTGTTTCTGTCACATCTCTCGTTAATGTTGCCGCCACACCGAGTCCCAAAAATCTCTAATCTTTAGTACCACAAATAAAGCCAAACATGGAGGCAGGTGTAGAAAAATATTTTAAATGGCACCCTACCACCAAAATAAAATAGACGACCAAATTACTGAAGAAAAGCAAATAAAAAATGGATGTCGAACAAAATAAAAATGGGAAATAATGATTATAGAATTAAGTTAAGTCCATGGGAAAAATAATTTTGTTTGAATTTGATAAAAATAAAATCAAAATAGGAAAGCCTGGGAACACTCCATGTTGGCATGTAAAAGAGTGAAACATTTTTCCATTTGCCACAAAAAAACAAACTAGCCACTCAATAATATATAATCACATATCAAAGTTTTTTTGAGTGTCATGAGACTCAGTAGCTAAAATAATGGAGTCGAAGAAAACAAAGAGAATTTTTGATTTGCTGACATAGCCTATAGTTAGCCAAATGATGTGAGAAAAATAATATGAAGTACATATATATATAAATAGATTGTTTAAATAGAAAATTAGTAGAAAAATGTAAATTAGCCCTTTATGTTAGCACAATGGCTATCAGTGAATTGTAAATGGTCATATATCCCAAAATAGCTGAATGTTAGGCAAAAAATATTGAGTTAACATAACCACAAAAAATTAACGAAATGCTAAATTAGGTACAAAAAATAAATTTTCCCCTTTTTTTTTCCAATTGCAAAACCCTTCTCCGTCATTTGTTAGCTACTTTTACGGCTGTTTATGTCCTGTATATTTTAATCTAATTTCTCTGTGATGATGATATCACTTCATTGCCATCATCAGGCAGCTGGCTTCAGACTCCATAGATCATTGGTGGAGATGAAGGGGGAACGGGGGCGGCTTGAGACACTTGTTGGTATGCAGGGGGGGAGGGGGGGGGGGGGGGGAGCGGCTTGAGACACTTGTTGGTATGTGTATATTGTCGTTGATGTGAAACGCTTTTAGACGCTACCGCTACCGCTACTGCTACTGCTCCCCTTCTTCCTCCCTGTTTGTCAGTCAGTGTGTGTGTGTATGAGTATGAGTGTGTTTGTCAGTCAGTCTGTGAGTTGTTGTTGTACAGAGGACCTGGCGACAGGCCCAGTCTGGGCCCAGTGCCACCTCACAGGGTACAGTATGTACAGTCTACTGAGTGCCAGCTGGTTATATCTGTTTTTCTCTCTCCTTCTTTCAGTCTCACTCCTTCTCTTTACCACATTGTTTTGTTTTAAGTTTTTTTTTTTTTTTTTGTAAACACATCAGCCCTTCGTTGAGTGTTTGCAGAGTCCAAATCCTGCAGACGGGGATTATTCCGTGCCTGTTGCAGGGTCTCTGACTCAGCCTGTGTTGGAGCTGTTTGAGGTCAAAGATTTTCCTTCACTGAAAGGCAGTGGTTTAAGAGTTTAAGTTACAGTTAAAAACAAAACTTAATGACTTAGTTATAAGTATTATTATGTTTATTTTTTACCAGTGAAGACCAAACGAAGCACCTTTCTATTTTTCCCCCAGCATTATAAGATTTATATTAGAATATTTTATCAAATGTTTATTAAAAATATTTTATCAATTCAAAGAAATACAAAAAAATTAGAACGTATTTTATCAATTCAAAGAAATACAAAAGAAAAAATAGAACATAGACAAACTTGTTTAAATTT